TTATATATTTGTCGCCCTGCCATTTCAAGTATTGTTTTCACCATGTCCTCAATGTCCAAAACAGTTAGCAGAAACCAATACACTGGTGAAGTACCCCCTAAATCCCTACAATCAGAGACCGCCTCCGTGGTCTTGTGGTAGAGCGTCCGCCCGGAGAGCGGAAGGTCCAGGGTTCGATCCCGGGCCGCGTTATACAAAAAGACGTTAAAAGATTGTACTTGTTGTTACCCTGTCTGGCGCTCGGCATTAAGGGGCTAAAACAAGGACTGGTCGGCTCGGAGTCAGTATACTGTGTCTGAGTGGGGTATCCATGTTAAACTGCGGCATGGTATCTCAGTGAGCTAGCACTATAAATCGGCATCAGTCCGGACTAGTACAAGCAGCCACACACACACATACACGTGCATGCACGTCGCTATATAAGTGCAATAATCTTGGACGCGACGTTAAACCCAATTTCACCTCACCTCACCTACAATCAGAAATCTCAATTTACAAACTCAGCCACACGATTTGGCTGTTCTTATTATCGCCGTCGCATGGTTATATCGACCTAATCGTTAATGTCAGAGTCACCCTCTGCTCATGTCAGGAAATCTCAGGTACAATAGAATGAACCATACTGGCAATAGATTCACTAGTTTCTCCAATTCACGTGACAAGCACATTACCAACATATGACACCCTGTTGTTAAAGGTCGTTCCTAATTTAACATGCTAATCTCAAAGTCGGCCTTCATGTTGGACGAACGAACGAACCAGGTTTGAGGTTGGACCTGGCGTTACAGCTAGTATCAATATTCATGGTGTGTGTGTGTGTGTGTGTGTGTGTGTGTGTGTGTGTGTGTGTGTCTGTGTTAGCATAGTTTCTTAGCAGTGTTGAATAAGGGAAATTTTGTTTTGTGGAAATTACCCAAACATCAATTTTGTGTGTTAATAATGGAAATGGAGACTGTTTGATGGTGCTCATGAAATAGTAAGTTTCTTGGATACATCTGGCAAAAGAATAGATTGCCCTATAAAACATATAGAATAGGTCTTCGGAAACCCATGCTTGCCGTAAAAGGCGACTGACGGGATATGGTGGCCAGCCTGGATGACTTGGTCACAGCATGTCTTCCTATCCCATTTGCGTGGATCGATGCTCATGATGTCAATCACTGGATTGTCTGGTTCAGACTCGATTATTTTCAGACCGCCTTCATATAGCTGGATTATTTCTGAGGGGCGTTGAACAACAAACAATCAAACCAAATGAATGCTCCCTATGTGCTGTAGGTACTGGGAACCTAGGGTACAAAGCTACCAGCCGCCCCAGGACCCACAAACAACCATCCGTCCTATGTCGTAGACCCGGGGTAGAATAGGTCTTCAACAACCCATGCTTGCCGTAAAAGGCGACTAAGCTTGTCGTAAAAGGCGACTAACGGGATCGGGTGGTCAGGCTCGCTGACTTGGTTGATGCACGGTCATCGATCCCAATTGCGTGGATCGATGCTCATGATATCAATCACTGGATTGTCTGGTCCAGACTCGATTATTTACACAGACCGCCGTCATATAGCTGGAATATTGCTGAGTGCGGCGTTAAACAACAAACCAACCAACCAGTCCTATGTCGTAAGAGGCGACTAACGGGATCGGGTGGTCAGGCTCGCTGACTTGGTCGATGCATGTCATTGATCCCAATTGCGTGGATCGATGCTCATGATATCAATCACTGGATTGTCTGGTCGATGATTTACAGACCGCCTTCATGTATGTGGAGTACGGCGTTAAACAACAAACCAATCAACCAACCCTGTCGGTCCGATCCATAAAGTCCTCTCAAGCATTGGATGGTGGGGGCCCATATTGTTACCAGGAATCCCCATGGGGTCAAGTGAAACTGTGACTGTCCAGTGTCATCCGATCATCTTGATCCCCAGCGGTCTCATGCCAGCAACTGATGTGAGTAATTGTACAAAGATCCACATTATTAACAGTAGAACACCATCATTAAATCATTTTAACCCAAAATAATTAGATCATAGCATGCATTATTCCTAGGAGCCTAACGCTGGTCAATGTAAAACTCCCATCAATGTTACTGAAGGCTGTTTAATGCTACTTTGTCTCAAACCACGACTCCATATAGTGTCGAATTACACACTTTGGCCTCAGGTTGAAGTGGTTTGATGTAAAATCGCGTGCATTATTACTTCTAACGACACAAACAGATACTGCGATCTTCAAATACACTTATTGATTATTTTTATGCAAAGGCCTATAGGCCCCGCGAAGGACAGGGTTAGAACTTGTCTTCAGCAACCTATACTTGTGGTAAGACGCGATTAACGGGATCGGTTGGCCGTGCTTGTTATTGTATCCTAATTGTGGAGATCGGTGATGTCAATTACAGTGAGTGAGTGAGTTAATATTTAACGTCACATCGGCAATATTTCAGCCATATCGTGAGGAGTTAATTACAGGATAGTCTTGTCCATACTATTATTTACCGACCGTCGTCATATAGCTGGAATATTGGTGATTGCGACGTTAGATAATAAACAAACTATATAATTTCTTCTTTATAGTTTGTTAATTGTTGCTTATCAAATTAATATTGTTCCAGGTAGTTATTGGCGGCCTGTAAACACTCGCACTGCGGGCAGGCAAACCAGTGGTTGATAAATAGGTCATGCAACGCGGGACAATGACCCACAAACAGCCAGAAAACAACGCCCGATCCCTATTGATGGCTTTTTGAGGAGTTTTAAACTTTTGCCGACGACTTGTTTTTATATATTTGATATCAATAGACACGAGATGAGATACTACGAATCATCCAAAATCCTTCTCCCAACTCTTTTAGGTCATACAGTAATATTTTTTTAATTTGAAGTTTACACGATATACGGCCTTTCCATTGGACGAGAACTCGGTCACATGACCGCGAAATTGACGTTTATAAGTGTATGAACGACACAATTTGACGTTCATACGTTTTTCACGATACCGTGTTCTTGAAATGACGTAACACTGGCGGATTACTTACACATTCCTTGGGAAACCCCTGGGAATTCCCTAGCACGAAAACATACATAAGCGTTCTTTCTGATCACTTAGAACCTTTATTCTTGGTCTCAGCGTTTCAGTATACATTGAGGAATGTCAGAGAGCGTGACTGCATGATTGTTCACGAATATCCTCGCTACGGCCCATCCAAATGAACAAACGAAGAAATGCACATCTAAACTATCGTAGTATCGACTCGATTCGTGTCTAGGCAGACACTGACCGTCTCCAGCAATCTATGAATTTACCTTAGTGTCTGTTTGACGCATCTTTCAATGATGCCTAAGACGTGTAACCGCCACAGGTTCATTAACAACTTTGGAAATCTCTCCCGTCACGTTTATCGTGTCGGCCATTTTGACATCTTGTACTTGATGTAAATGTATTACGACGCGCTGTCATTGTGACTGACTCACTGAGGTACATGTAGTTCTTTACAGACCTTTCTCATCTAATGGTGTTATTTTTTGAACACATGTGTTGCGTAAGATGTTTCTGAAGAGCAAGTTGTGCATCCATACGCTCATGTCACCTCTCTTTTTGAGGAACTATTTTACTCCGCGATATAGCTGGTTGTTGTATGGCTGTCAGTGTAAACATGAAGTCACACGTTCTAAAAAAAAAATGTGTCTAGATCTTGGCCTACATCTTTTGAGGTAAGAAATTGTGATAATTTTTTTATAAGCATTGACTTTCACTTTGTGTGAGTTCATTGGAGTATGGACCTTCATAGAGTGAGGGCCAAACATTGTATGCAAGCTCCGACGTTCATACAGTTTGGCCCTCACTCTATGAAGGTTCATACTCCAATGAACTCACACAAAGTGAAAGTCAATTCTTAAATAATCTGTGTCTGGAGTGTAAAGAGTACAGCTTACTAGCTTCAGTGGCTTTAGTGACGTCATGTGATTGTGACGTCATGGTAACCGATGGCGTCACAATGGTCGTCACAGTATTTTAATGCAATTTCATTTTAGTAATCTCACCCACGCGATACACCGGTGAAAGCCAGTTGGACCCGTGAAGACTCCGGGGTAGAATAGGTCTTCAGCAACCCATACTTGCCGTAAAATTGGAATGCGATGACATGCATCAACAAAGTCAGCGAGCCTGACCACCCGATCCCGTTAGTCATCTCTCACGACAAGCATAATCGCCTTTTACGGTATGATGCGACCGGGGATCGATCTCCCGACCTTCAGCTCTCAGGGCAGTCGCTGACCCGAATATTCAAGGGTCGTGTGACCTTCACAATGAATATATTAGTATTTGTATGAACATTCCAAAGGGCATTCCAGCGAAAATATAGCATATTCAAATCCCTGCTGTATTCAGCGACTCCGCGGTCGGGGAATATTTTGCAAAAATGCCCACTCGTTGCGGAAATATACCCGTCTTACAGTAAATCCCATTTTGTGCAGAACTCATGCTGATTTTTGAATTAACTACCGCAGATTTGGTCAAAAAACCTGTTGGAGCTGTTTTTCACGTGTAAACAGAAATATATGTCGTTTTAAATTGAAGTTGACGATTCTATTATTCCTTAGCGTAAGTACATGTCTCCATGTTTACACAAATGACTTCCAGATTGACTTCATTAAGTGTATCAGAAACATTGCCGCCAAAAGTCAAACAGTTTCAAAACCTCGAAATTCACGAAAAACTAAACTAAAATGTTTGCAGAAAAGTGTGCAAAATTATGAAAATGTGGTTGCAGAACTTATATTGACTGTAGAGGAGATATACATGTTATCATATCCTTGAGATGCCCAAGAACCGTGTGGTCTCAGCAATGATGGTCGCATTCCTTCCACACCTTACAGTAACTACATTTACACGTGGTTGCTCAGCTGACTGTGTATTCCACAACCAATCAAGAACAAACATACCCGAGAACATGCGGCCACGAAGAAGGCAACTAAACGACGGAACAAAGTATAACGTTTATTTTGTCATCTTACATGGTCGAAACGTTTGACAACAAACAAGCGTTTAAAAGAATAAACATCCAAAATAATAACAAAATGATACAATGTGTAAGATTGGTAAGTTAAACCACGAAGATGAATGTAAAATGACTAAACGCAGAATCATACTCATCCCACATTGTATTGTAGCAGTTGAAGATTGCCGGTATATATCTCAAGGGGCCATTTAGGAGACATATACAGGAAATCCGCACACCCTACACCACACAGGTCGAATCAGTGTAATATCTGTGTGTGCAGTGCTACGTATTATATCTCCCAAGAAACGATTCATTTCGCAATGATAATTCAACAGTTCATTAGGACAAAACACACTTGGTTACAATAATTGCGATACGTGTATTGTGTGATCGAACCTCTGAAATGGAAGTCAGGCATGCATGATAATTAAACAGACATTAAATAGAATTGATTGCACTTCTTTTAAACAAGCTTAACAGAAATACAATATTGTATGAGCAAGTGTTGAAATCATCAACACATGTTGTTCCATCCCGCCCTAACGTCAAATACTCAAATTAATACACTGGATAATATTGAAAAGTAGATATGAATAGATGTATGTATTTGGAGCGAGTGTCACACACACACACACACACACACACACACACACACACACACAGAGTGTAATATCTGTGTGTAAAGTGATACGTATTATATCTCCCAAGAAACGATTCATTTCGCATGGTAATTCAACAGTTCATTAGGACAAAACACACTTGGTTACAATAATTGCGATACGTGTATTGTGTGATCGAACCTCTGAAATGGAAGTCAGGCATGCATGATAATTAAACAGTCATTAAACAGAATTGATTGCACTCCTTTTGAAAAAGCTTAACAGAAATACAATATTGTATGAGCAAGTGTTGAAATCATCAACATCAACACATATTGTTTCGTCCCGCCCTAACTGACAGACTAGCACGTCAAATACTCAAATTGATACACTGGATAATATTGAAAAGTAAATATGAATAGATGTATGTATTTTGAGCGAGTTTCACACACACACACACACACGCACGCACGCACACTTTTTGTTTACCCATGAGGATCCAGGGTAACAACCCTGTGCTTGTACGAGGCGACTCAATAGACCTGGTAGTCTGGCTCTGTGACTTAATTGGTTGCATGTCATTATATCCCAACAACGTGGATAGCTGCTTATGTTGCCACTCACTAGATTGTCTGTTGCAGGGTTGGTTGCTTACAGACCGCCGACCTATAGCTGGAGTGCTGGAGTGCAGCGAAAACAACACGCAAACAAATATGTCTTGCAGCATCACATAATTGTCTACAGAGTTTTGTTTGCATCATCTAAAGATCGCTTCTCCTTCAGAGCCCCGTTCAGCATATGGATCAAAAGTATTATTTTGGACAGCCTCCGTTTCATAACATCCAGAAAAATATATCCGTTTAAAAACCAGTCTAAAATTGTCACCGAAAATCAGGTATACTGCACAGTGGACAGAAAAGTTCATATAGTACACGAGTTCAAAGATTCGATGCATTACACCATCATTCAAACTGGGGGAGGCGGCGCCATATAAACTTTGTAGGAACATCATTTTGATTCTGATAACATGGGTAGGGGTGTGGAGAACAATAAAGATGAGCGATACTGCAAACAGCAGCTTTGATACCTTTACTTCCAAGGCTAGTGTTTCCTTTCGGCGTGATGTAGATGTCCTTGGAACCCTTTCAAACAATCTCTTCCGGCGCTCGTGTGCATGGACGGCACTAACTGAGATGGCAACGTTCAGGAAAACCATTACAACAAGCGGTATGACTAGCGTTAATATAGAGTCGACAAGCGTCATGGCAACCAACAGTCTTTCGTATTTTTCAAAAACAAGACAACTTGAATTATTGTGGGAACTTATTAACCCTGTCGTCCACAAACTGAAGCTGTACAACCCAACGGCGATGGTGATGAGGAGTATTATGGTGTACTTCGCACGCTTGACACTGCACAGGTTTGTTACGTGGCTAGGTAATGACACTCTGATGAAGTTTTCCCAGGTAATAAGCACAACACACCACACAGACAGAAAACCTGTGATATACGTAATGAAAACGGTGGCCTGGCACACTCCGACCGTTTTAAACACTCGCACATCCAGGCGATACAACCAAACAACGAACAACGACATCAGAAACAACAAATCGTTGATAGATTTTGTTGCTAAATACAGACAACAAGACGTGTTTCTCAGGTTTGGACTCAGGAATGTTCTCGCAGCTAAAATATTCCCAATTAGCCCTATAGAGAATACAACTGGAAGAGTCCATGTCTGAAGATGGAGTACAGTTTGGTACGTGGGGTCATTTTCCAGATCCGTGGTGTTATATTTGGAGGCGTTCCTGGCACCAAGAATGCTACTTCCCGTATCCATTATCAACTGTTGGTCAAACATGCATGTTATTCGGTTGACTGTTCAAATGGGATCCTTGTGGCAACAGTGCTGATGTCCGCAACTATTAACAAACGTCGTTACCTAACGAGTTCCTTGCATTGCTAATATCCGCAGCTATTGTGAAATGTTAGTCAAACGTGCATGTTAACGTTTAAGTTCCGATGAGTTTCGGACAACTCCAAAACAGTATCCACATCCATTTCAGAGCTGCGTTCACTACCTGTCTTCACATCTATAGAACTGTGTTCAAATGTGCATGTTTGTGGCTTCGCTGTTCTGATCAAAGTCTGAGATCAGATCATACCATGTCCTCCTTTCCATATTTACAAACCAATCAATCCTTCACTATTTACAGTGCCTTGTCTTGATACACATGGGTTACCATACTCAAGATTGATAGTTTATTTAATGCAAGCTTTCATCAACTGTATATACCTATATGTCACATGTAAGGTGACACTGGTAAAGAGATTGATTCACTGATGAAAATATATTGCCTGTGTATCAAATATTTCAATTCCCCGAAGTGCCTGAAGAGAAACAGTTACCCACTTCTGACTTTATTTGTCCATTAAATCTTGTTGATTAAACTGCTTTTATCAAAAGGTTCTCATTTCCTCAGGTCGTAATGTGAGAGTTCCGATATATTTGTTCAATGAGATGCCGGCGTATCAATGTTCCAGGGAGAACAAATTGGAATCATTTGAAAATGTATGTATCGCGTATCTACTGTTTTGAATATGATCCGTTAGACATCAATGTAATGATCGTAAAATAATAAAACATTATTTCATGAAAGCTGATCAAAAGTCATTTGAATCAGTTGTCTGTAAGGCACACGTTGTCTCCTTGCGGACTGTCTCGTCTGCTGTTACAAAGTGCCATAGGAAGTGGGACGCTTGATGAGTGATCATCTATCAACGTTGGCAACGTGATCAACTTTCCTTTTAGAGTATTTCCTTGTGAGCATATATAACTGGGAAGTCGTACAGTCCCTGCACGATCATCAGTCGACGAACATCGTATGGCCTGTTTCCCTTGTTGTTGCAACTAGGCTGTGAAAATCAGTGGGCGATAGATATATACCCTTTAAGTCATTTCTTGGTAACGAGAGACACGTCAACTTTCTATCTCTTATTATCTTGATTAATTTCTTCTGTTGACGTCTTGCCAACCTTCTTTATCTGAAAAATAAGTATGATTCAAGTGAGACAAGATAATACGTTTCGTTTAAACTGATAGGGTAGAAAATACACAGACATTTTATAAATTATAGATGAAATATTCAAAATATACAATCATGCTATTTGTGTGTGTGTGTGTGCAAATGATACATTTTTACAAATAGTTAGTAGTTATAACTACTGACATACACGGAGGTACTCTTGGGCACACCCGAAACCTGTGATCATGGGTGGGAATCCCGATTGTCCCCGATTATGTTTCTAGGTTTGTCAGCACCATACCAGTGCCCGTGGGTTTCACTAAAGCGGTAAACGTCTGAGACCTGCATCGCTTCGGGCTTTCCTTCCGACATTAAGCTGAAACGCCGTGATAAATCTGGACTACAACTGAAAGCGGTGTCAAACCCAGCTCACTAACTCATTGAATTGAACCGAAAAGTTTTAAGACAAATCTCGAATCAAGACCTATGAAACCATTGGTTGACATCTGAATCGCTGCTAGTTGGTCCCCACAAAGGAATATTTACAGATTAGTTTTAGTGTCCCTCTGATTGTATAATACGTCGTTGTTTTCTGATGTGTTTGTGATGAGATGAGACACCGGTAATACGCCTACCCTTTCGCTGATATCTGGTATAACTGTTATTAACACAGTGATATTGTTAGAATTGTAAATAGAATTTCTTATGATTATGGAAAGGGAATTGTCACTGTTACTTATTTGAATACATTATACCCAAATACCTTATTGAACGAAACGGTATCTTTATTACGTTTCCGATTTCTTACCGCAAACCTAGTATCTAGACACTGATGTATCACCCCCAAAGGAACACTAATGTAAGTGTGTGAGTGAGTTTTAAATTTAACGTCGCATCGACATTATTTCAGCCATATTCCGACGAGACCAAGTTGACATACACCCAATGCATTCATGAATACAAAGTTTATATAAAACAATTTATCAAACATATTTGGGCATACCAATATCATTTCGACCGTTTTTATAGGCCATCAGCAACCAAAACCTAGGCCACCTTGCTGGGGATTATGGGGACTTACAGTACCTCTGCTTCCTGCATGATACCCCAGCAGAATTTATGCCATCACTTTAGCTACTGGTGGCTATGCACAAAACTAGCCAATATTAAAAAATACTCAGCAATGAGTTGGCCATCAAACACTGGTTGAGGATAGTTACATCGATTATGATAGGAATTATGTGACACACATGGGGACAATCATTTTACGGTACTTTCACCTCCTGCACAGAGCCTTCAATAATGTCAGTTGGTAAATATCATCACACCAAAGTTAAAAACAAGCAATTAATTATTCATGTACTTTTCTTGATAAAATTTATCATAGAGACCAATTTCGTTCACGTAACTTAAGATAAAGATGCCGGCTTACACGGAAAAGAGATCTTTCAGATTTACGCTTTGATAATGCGAATCCATTGCGATTCCATTATATGCTTGACGGTGAACCTTTCATGACAAGGAATACACTTAGGAGGTTCGTCCTCATCTATCTCAAGCAGATATTCGTGGGTAAACCGACTGTGGCCAATACGACATCGTCGTAAAACAACCTCATCATGTCTTTACAGACAACCCCAGTAGGTATGACCGATCGTTGGTTTAAATTTGTGAAGTTTATTGATTCCTACATGTCTGCCTCACCTATTTTGCATGAGATCCCGAGTATAACTCTTGATGGATGGTTCGAAATCACAGTACGGGATCAGGAGTGGAGATAACGGTTTGTCAAGAGCTGCTTTAGCTGAGTTACCTGCTAAGCCTACATGACTTGGTAACCTGCAAAAGACGATGTCACATTGGCCAGGAGAAAGATCATTGAAAAGTTCTGAAATGTCAAGGATTATGGGATGATTTGAGAAGGCACTTGTAAGTGCCTGAAGGCAAGACAGTGAATCGTAGAAAATGGTGAAATTCTTAGGATTGGATTTGCTCCTGAATATAGGTCAAATCTGTTGAGATAGCTTTGGCCTCAGCAGTTAAAAAATAACTATTATTCGGGATGCTTGAGGAAACAGTTCTGGATCGAACGATTGTGGCACTTGCCACTTTGCCACTCGTCTGTAAAATTGGATCTGTGAGAATTGTATTTGGTTCGTAATTGGTTATAAACTTGTTGATACCCAAAAGATTTGTTTCGGACTTTTTGAGCTGGGTAAGAGAAAGGTCTATCTCTGGCTTCAGCATCTGCCAAGGTGGAGTAGACAGAAGACGGTAAGGTGATATAATATTTAGATCTATTTTAGCTGGAGTGATGTGAGGTTGAATTCCGATTCCAAGCTGTAGAACCAGGTTGAAAAAAAATCGAAACAGGTTTTCATTTTGAGAATTGTGCACACAATTGTATGCCGAGTTTGATTAATTTGAATGCAATTTAGTGATGTATTGTTGTGATAGTTTAATGCGGCGTTGTTCGAGGGAAGGTTCATCAGCCGCCACATACAAACTGTCAACGGGAAAGGTCCTAAAATTGTTTCTTCTGTAGGCTGCACCATAGACAATTGAACCATAGCCCAGTTTGGAGCTTTTTAACGATCTGTACACATGGAGAAGGGTTGTCTGGTCCCCTCCCAACTCGGAATTTGAAACGACTTTTAACAAGTCGAGAGTCTTCAGGCACTTTGCCTTTAGATATTTAGATATTTATGTGGTAAGAATGTGAGATGACGGTCAAATACGAGGCAACTGCGTTAATTGATGCTCCTGATGTCAATAACTGGATTGTCTGGTCCAGACTCGATTATTTACAGACAGCCATCATATAGCTGGAATATTCCTGAGTTCGGCGTTAAACAACAAACAAACGAAAGTACTGTACGCACCGATTCCTGGGTTAACCCTCGTGCTTCAGCATGAGAATCGACACGTAAGCGTGAACCATTTTATATGTCGACCTCTTACGGCTTACTGTCCCTGGATTGTGCGTGTTGTTATGAAGATTTGGGAAACGTTATACAATATCCAATATTACATAACAGAGCCGTCGTACTATAAGGATCACTGATGTGATGGTCGGTAGCTATTCATGCTTCCTCAGCAAAATCAACAAAAGCCGACGGCTCGCTAATTATATTTATAGATTTGTGGAACTATAAGTGAGGTTGTAAAAGGCGACTATGCTTGTCGTAAGAGGCGACTAACGGGATTGGGTGGTCAGGCTCGCTGACTTGGTTGAAGCATGTCATCGATCCCTACTGCGTGGGCCGATGCTCATGATATCAACCACTGGATTGTCTGGTCCAGACTCGATTATTTACAGACCGCCGTCATATAGCTGGACTATTGCTGAGTGCGGCGTAAAACAACAAACCAACAACCAAACTTTGGGACCGATACACACAGTTCAATTACACTGCAGACCGTCCGAGAACCGGTCGACCAAGAGTTACCACCCCTGCACAGGATCGCTGCATTCGACTGTTCCACCTACGTCATCGCAATGCCACACTTGCGGAGACTGCAGGACGCATCCCTGGTTGAAGAAGAATATCGGACCGGACTGTCAGGAACCATCTTCGCGAGGCTGGAATCCGACTCAGAAGACCAGTTATCGTCCCTGTTTTGCAACAGATCCATCAACAGCGACGCTTGCGTTAGTGCCATAACTTACTGCCTTGGAATTTGAGAAACTTGGAACGAGTGTGGGTTAGCGATGAATCACGATCTTTTCTTCGCCGGCTAGATGGAAGACAACGTGTTTATCGTCGCCGAAATAAGCGTTTGGAACCAAATTGTGTACGTGAATTCGACAAATTCGGTCGCGGTAGTGTCATGGTGTGGGGGGCCATATCCTACACCACGACATCTGACTTGGTTGTGATTCAGGGAAATGTGACAGCAAGTCACTACATAAATCAAATTCTTCAACCTCAAATTCTTGCAGTCATTGACCGGCAGAAGGAGCTGTTTCAACAGGATAACGCTCCACCGCACACAGCTCGTGTCACGGTAGACTACCTTCAAAATACCATCATCAACGTCTTACCCTGATCGTCGAGATCTCCAGATCTCAACCCAATTGAACACTTCTGGGATAAACTCGATATATGTGTAGGTCAACGTCAGATCACGCCGCAGACACTCCAGCAACTTGCCAATGTGTTACAAGCAGAATGGCGCAGAATTCCGCAGGACAGAATTCGTACACTTATCCACTCAGTGCCGAGGAGATGCAGAGTCGTGATTGCTGCCCGGGGCGGTCACACGAGATACCGAGTTCAGCGCAACCTTGTGGACTTATGTGACATAACAGTTTTCAATGCCTTTGTACAACGACATGTGACTTTTGAACTCCAAAATTTCATATTTGTATCTATGATACTCAATTAAATATATCGACCTTTTAACTAAATTTACTAAAATCTACCTTTTTTTGTTTTTTTTGAAGAGTGTAAACTAAAACTGAAACTGAACCGCCTTCAAACGGGTTTTTGTTCTCGGTTCAACAAAACCTTAGTACCTAAATTGACATCATCATAGTGTTAAACCGTGGTACGTTTATACCACAACAGCATTAACTTTCATGCGAAGGCAATACGCCACTGACTGATCAAGAGAGTAATTGCCTAATAAATCCAAGCAGTAAGCTTTCTGTCTGAACAGTTTGACATCGATTCCACAGATTTTGTCTGGAACAAGGTCTTCAGCCTAAACGTATTAATGAATGAAGTGACTCCAATTCCAGTATTAAAATATCAGGCTTCCGAACGAATGCCATACTCAACTTAGGGTGCCTAAATGAGTTCCCAATACATTTACTTACTTATGCTTCACTCATCAATCTGACTTTGCCGAGTTCACTGGTCTGGCTTATTTTTGTATTCCGTCATTAAGTATTAACTAAGCCCAGCGGAGATCATTTATCAGTTGACAGTATTCGTGTTAACACGACAGACATGTCTCTGAAATACATTAGCTGCGGATTGCTATTCCAAGCACCAAAATAAAAAATCTGAAATG